GGATGAGGGCTGGCAGGTGTACGGCTCTGCTCAGGGCCGATGTGTTTGCTCCATCAAGACTCCTGTTCCGGACGCCTGCGCTGGAGACCCTCGACACACTCGCCTGCAGCAGATCTCTGCACACGTGAGCATCACGCCGACTCAGAGCTGTGCACACACTCACACACCAGCTTGCCAACACCTGTGTGTGTGTGTCTACAGGTGCTGAACGTCTCTGAGCACATGCAGCTCCTGACTCGGCGCACCGCTGGAGATCTGCAGGAGCTCAGAAGCTCGGAGACGATATTGGACACACTGGAGAAAACACTGACCAGTGCCCAGCAGAACCCGCAGGAGCTGAGCGACAGGAGCCTGCAGGTACACACACACACACACACACACACGTTTGCATGCAGTGTATATTTTGTATTCATTAGTAGACTGCGGAGTTTCTCTGGTCCACTGTGTCGAGTTATTTCCTAGTGCTTCCAGCAGAGATGCTGAATCTTGAAAACATCCATGAAAGAAAAAGGCAGGAGCCAGCGAGCGCTCAACAATCAACTCTGATCATAAAATAAACACACAACCAAAGTCTCCATCAGGGATTCACCATGCGACTTGAGGCCACTGGCCTAGCTCTGATGTCACAACTTGTGGCCCCGCCCACATCCACAATAATGTTTGATGGCAGCGTCTGCTCATGTGTCAATGTTAAGTTCATGTTGTGAGAGGTGCGCATCAGATCATGCGGGTGGTATGCATCCTTTGGGAAGGTCACACTAGACCTACTACATCCACTTACTGAAGAAGTGTAAATTGGCTCTGACCATCACTACAGAGGGCTTTACCTTTACCGTAAAACTTTAACCTGTATCCTAACTCTTACCCTAAACCCCCTACCCTAGCCCTTACAATGAACCCCTAACTCTTGCTCTTAACTCTAACCCTTACTCTAACACTTACCCTAAAACACTCAACCCTAAACTCTTGCCCTAAACCCTAACCGTTTTCATCACTCTTACCCTAAATTTCTTACTCTAAACCTTAAAATTTACCATAAACCTTACCCAAAACTCCTAACTCTTACCCTGAACTCTTACCTTAAATCCTTATCCTAAACCCCAGAGCCTTACCCTAAATCCCAACCCTTACCCTAAATCCTAACCTTTACCATAACTTTTACCCTAAACCCCTAACTCTTACCCTAAACCCCCAAGCCTTACCCTAAACCCTTACCATTACCCTTTCCCCAAACCCCTAATCCCTAATCTCTAATCCTTACCCTAACCTCTACCTTAAACCTCTAACCCTTACCCCTACCCTGAACTCTTGGCCTAATTACTTACCCTAAACCCCCGAACCTTAGCCTAAATCCCAACTCTTACCCTAAACCCTAACCCTTAGCCTTAACCTTACTGTTACCTTTACCCCAGACCCCTAGTCCCTAACCCTAACGCTTAACCCTTACCATTGCCTTTACCCCAAACCCCAATCCCTAACCCTTATGCCCCATTCACAAGGGCCGTCAGCGTCAACGCTTCCCCTTCACTTTGAATAGGTGACGTCAGGCATTGCCGAACTGCATTGTGCATCCGTCGGCGCCGCTTCAGTGGCATGGCTCGCTGCAAAAGTTGGGACTACCTCAACTTTTTGAGCGCTAACAGAAGCGTCAGCCAATCAGATCGCTGTAATCAAATACTCCTGCTAGACAGTGGCCTATTGCTGACTGAATTTCATTGGCTGACGCTGCTATGACGATCGCTTCAGCCCCAACTTCAGACACGCCTTCAGTCAAGCGTTGACGCTGAAGCCCCGTGGGAATGGAGCGTTACCCTTAAGCCTAACTCTTGCCTCAGTGTCGCCCCCTGTGGCTGTGTCCGTTGACAGGAGCTGCGCTGGAGTGTGTCTCAGTGTCGCCCCCTGCGGGTGCTGCTGACTCGAGTGCGTGCGGATGTGGCTCAGCTGGACTCTGTGCGTGACGAGCTGCAGGGGATCAGTGTGTCGCTGTCACTGCTGCAGGAACGCTTCACACTCCAGCACTATCAGCAGCTGCAGCAGCGCATCTCCATCCTGCAGCAACACCTGCACAGCTGCTCCAGCCACCTGGGTATTACACACACACACACATGCACTGACACCTGCCACACAAATGTATGCCCATTTTGGGAAATCACATTAAAAACGACATGTGAATATTCATGTGTGTGTGTGTGTGTCCGCATGTGTGTGTTCAGGTTGTGGTCAGCTGATCAGCATCAGTGCTCCGCTCACAGTCAGATCTTCAGGCTCTCGCTTCGGGTCGTGGATGATGGAGACTTCCATTGAAAGTTCGGACAATCGCGTATGTCGAAGATCTGATTGTTCACTCTCACACACTCGACACCGATTGGACTCATTTTATTATATGAATCTTCACAACACCCTTAATGTGTGTGTGTGTGTGTGTGTGAGCAGGTGTGGGTGATGGATGGATACTTAAAGGGCCGGCGTGTGTTGGAGTATCCGTCTCTGCAGGACTTCGCCAGTGGGCAGAACTACATCGTCCATCATCTTCCCCATGCGTGGGCAGGTGTGTGTGTGTGTGTGTGTGTGTGGTCATGTGATCTTCAATGGTTTTCTATACTACAGTAAACATCAGAGCAGTGTGTGTGTGTGTGTGTGTGTGTGTCCCCAGGCACTGGTCATGTGGTCTTCAATGGCTCTCTGTACTACAGTAAGCATCAGAGCAGTGTGTTGGTGCGGTACGGGCTGGCGTCGGGCTCAGTGCTGCAGCAGCGGGAGCTCCCTGACGCCGGCTTCAACAACACCTTCCCCTACTCGTGGGGTGGGGCGTCTGACATTGACCTGATGGTGGACGGGTCGGGGCTGTGGGCGGTCCACTCCAGCGCGGGCCGTGGCGGCACGCTCCTGCTCAGCCGTCTGCACCCGCTCAGCCTGCAGGTGCTGCGCTCCTGGGACACCGGCTTCCCCAAACGCAGCGCCGGCGAGGCCTTCCTCATCTGCGGGACGCTCTACATCACAGACTCACACCTGCCCGGAGCCAAGGTGGCCTTCAGGTTCCACACGCACACACACACCTACCAGTACACCGACATCGCCTTCCACAACCAGTACTCACACATCTCCATGCTGGACTACAACCCGCGCACACGCGCACTCTACACCTGGAACAACGGCCAGCAGGTGCTGTACCAGCTCACACTGATGCACTACATACACACACACACACCACTGACTCACACACACACCAATGACACACACGCATGACTAGAAACACACACAAGTGACTGAAGCATACACATACACACACCACTAACACACACACACAAACTGAACACTGACAGACTGTTGCTTTAAATGCAAATGAGATTGTGCTTATTTCAAAAGAGGGCGGAGCTACAACACCTGTGTGTCACCATAGCAACAGATTCAAAAACAAGACTAACCTCCTATGCTAATGAGGGAGTGAGGGTCACTGGTGGGTGAGGCTTTCCCCCTCTAAAGACACATAAGGAGGGGGCGGGGCATGTCAGACACTAGAGAGCACTTGATTGGTCAGAAGATTTGAAACTGAAGTATGAGGAGACAAAACCCTTCGGCATAGTAGACGACCTGTAAGCTGGAGAGGTTTATATCAGGTTTATCTCTCCTAAAGGTGAGCTTTGCCAGTGTTTTAGAGACACTAGATATATAGAGCAAAAGCTGATTGTGTGGGCCAAAGCTAGGCCAGAGATGTTTTGCTATGTGGATAACACTAACACACTGATACTAACATTTAAAAGCTTTCATTCCACAGGTCTTAAAGGCGCAGCTTGCATAATAATAAGAGAGTAATGTGAATGTGAAGTGTCCGTGCTCCAGAATGAGCCTCTCGCGTCTCTGCTGTTGAGTCTGCATGACTGATGCTGCATGTGAAGACTGATTTCTGCACTGATTGACAGAAAATCACACACAATATGAGTCAAAATGCAATAAACAAATGTTAATATGTGACTTGTACTTTTGGGTTGTTCATGCTAATAAAATCTGATGATGCTAAATAGGAAATGTGTTTGGTGTTCTCATTCATCCGCCAATTATCATGGAAATTGCTGTTTTTATTTTTTAATAGTTCATATTTTCCTGAAACTATAGTATTGAGAGCTCGTTTTGGTTTGTTTGCAGTTGTAGTTTATTGTAGGCTGCTTGTTTTGCTTTGATGGGCCGGTTTATGATGTCATCATCACTAATATTCACACTTTAATTCATGTTTTTATTTTCACATTCGACTCATTATTCAAATCTTTTCCATAATTATTCCTCTTAAGTATATTGGTTTAAATTAGTGTATATAAAATACATATATTTACACTTAAATATCATCGGCAGGCCTTTAAATGACTTTATAAATGACTGAAGTATCAAGAATTGAGATTTTCAATAACATTACTATTTTCTCCCATTACTGGCGTAAGTATTAATTTATAAAGATGCCAATGGAGTTAAAGATGAGATCATCAGTAGTTAGATGTTGTTACATCGCTTCATTTATCAATTTTAAGTCGTTTTAATTCGGCTTTTAGTCAGAAGTTTGCTGAGGCCGCCTAGTGGACTTTGTAACGCAACACAAACGAACTTCAGTGAGCATGCGCAGACGATGTTGACATCGCCGGGAGTTGTAGTCTCTGAGCTCTTCCTGTTCTTTGCGGGAGTTGAGTTGAGTTTCGCTGTTTTGAAGAGATTCTAAACTTCATCATCAACATCCGTAAGTACAGAGTTCAGTTTGAGGAGTTCATTAAAGCTGATCTTCACCAGAGTCTAGCTCAATGCGGGTGTTCATGCTGATTTAATGAGTTTGAAACTAATGACAGTGATGCTATTGTCGAACTGAGGAAACATTCAACAGATGACGAGCGCCATACAGCTCTCTCTCTCTCTCTCTCTCTCTCTCTCTCTCTCTCTCTCTCTCTCTCTCTCTCTCTCTCTCTCTCTCTTTTCTTTCTTTTTACGAGATTGTGTTGTGTTGTGTTGTGTGTGCTGTTTGTGTTGTGTGTGCTGTGTGTTGATGTTGGTTTGACGTTGACAGTATTCGCAGTTTCAGGGAGCGTCTATGGCAAGCCGTATTAGCATTTAACGTTAAACCTTTGTTCTGACTATCCATAAATATATTTAGAGATATCTCTAATTATATTTTGACTAGTCATAATTATAATTCGACTAGTCAGAATGACAATTAGAGATATCTGCAATTACAATTGTAGTACTTCGAAGTCAGATTGGAGATATCTGCAAATATATTATGACTAGTCATATTCCTCCATTGACTTCCATTGAAAAATATTTGCAGATATCTCAAACTGAGTTTTGACTTGTCAAAATCCAATTCAAGATATCTACAACTATAATTCGACTATTAGTAAATTAATTAGAGATATCTTCAAATATATTTGTAGGTATCTCTAAATATGACGAATATGAGATATCTGTAAATCTATTATGACTAGTCAAAACTTAGAGATATCTCTAATTATATTGTGAAATTGTGGATGTAAATACCTGTGTACCCGTTTGTGTGTATGTGTACTTGTCTGTGTGTACTCATTTGTGTGTGTGTGTGTGTGTGTGTGTGTGTGTGTGTGTGTGTGTGTGTGTGTGTGTGTGTGTGTGTGTGTGTGTGTGTGTGTGTGCAGGCAGATGTCTGTGTGTGACTCCTCCATCCGGCCGGTCAGTGCAGTGGCCTGGGCCTCCAACACCTCCACCTGCCCCGGGCACTTTACCCTGGTAACTACACCTGACCATACACACCAGACCATGCACACCTGACCACACACACACCTGACCACACAAACATCTGACCATACACACCAGACCATGCACACCTGACCACACACACCTGACCACACACACACCTGACCACACACACACCTGACCATATACACCAGACCATGCACACCTGACCACACACACCTGACCACACACACACCTGACCACACACACACCTGACCATATACACCAGACCATACACACCTGACCACACACACCTGACCACACACACACCTGACCACACACACACCTGACCATACACACCAGACCATACACACCTGACCACACACACCTGACCACACACACCTGACCATGCGCACCTGACCACACACACCTGACCACACACACCGGACCATACACACACCTGACCATACACACCAGACCATACACACACCAGACCATACACACACCAGACCATACACACACCTGACCACACACACACACCTGACCACACACACACCTGACCATACACACCACACCATACACACCTGACCATACACACCACACCATACACACCTGACCATACACACCAGACCATACACACACCTGACCACACACACACCTGACCACACACACATCTGACCATACACACACCTGACCATTCACACCAGACCATACACACACCTGACCACACACACACCTGACCACACACACATCTGACCATACACACACCTGACCATTCACTCCAGACCACAAACACACCTGACCATTCACACCGGACCATGTGCACCTGTGACCAATGCTTGGCCCTCTTCATGACCCTTGTGTGTGTGTGTGTGTGTGTGTGTGTGTGTGTGTGTGTGTGTGTGTGTTTGTATAGATCAGTCAGACTGAAGACGGAGCGTCCGCTAACTTCAGCCGAGGGTTTGTGAAGTCTGGCTATTTCCTGTGCTACAGTAAGGTAGGAGCCGCTGTAGAGGGTCAGCTCACACACACACACACACACACACACACACACTCCTCTCTCTCCCTCAGGGGGTTATGGAGCTTCATCGGTGTCTGGATTCTGCTCAACACTACAGCAGATAATCTGAAGAATGTTCAAACCGCTGAGCATTCACTTCCATAGTGGGACAAATGAAGGAGTGTCGACGTGTTTCCAACATTCTTCTGAATATCTCCTTTAGACTCGGGCAGGTTTGGAGCAGGTGAATGATGAAGAAACCAGGACAGAACTGACCCTATACACCCCCCAAACAGCATCATCAGCACCGCCTGCACTCTCTCAACATCTGTCTCTGTGTGTGTGTGTGTGTGTGTGTGTGTGTGTGTGTGTGTCAGGATCTGTCTGGTGGGATGGTGGTGGCAGATGTGCAGGTGATCACAGATAAAGAGACCATTCCTCACGGCTACTGCTACATCCCAGAATACCTGGAGCAGAGTAAGAGTGTGTGTGTGTGTGTGTGTGTGTGTGTTCACAGCGATGGATGGAGTTCCTTTCACTCTACACCCAAAATTTGAGTCTCGGTCGTCCAGCACTAAGGTCAGAGTTCACGGCATCACTCACTCATTCACACACACACACACACACACACATGTATATGTGACAGCTGTGTTCTTGTGTGTGTGTCAGGTGTCTGTAATCACGCTGAGTGACATCCGCATTAAATCAGTGCAGGACATCGAGAACGAGGTGAGCTCAAACACACACACACACACACACACACACACACACACACAAGTTTGTTTTAACGGCACAAATCCAAGTGAATGTCACCA